CTTAAATTTTTGTTTGAGAAAGACTTTATTTCTCTTTTACTTTGAAATTCCCAGCTTCATAATTCCAAAATGTCTGCTATCCCTGAGTCTGTTTCTGCTTATTTGTCTCTGTAGACTGTTTCTGCCTTTTATCTTGCCTTATAAATTTTTTTGAAAGCCAGACATGATATAAATGTAAATGAAACCAAGGTGAATAGGCCTTTAATGTGATATTTTATATTATCTGGCTGTGGGTTAGGCTGTGTTTACTGGTTGTAGCTAGGCGTGTTTCAAAATGGTTACTATCCCTCTCCCTCTGCTGGAAGCAGGAGGGAATTCTTCTCTGTTTGAAAGTGAGAACCTGTTAGGGCTCCGGAAGGACGTAAAACTCAGGAACATGTAGGGGCCTCCCAAAGACTAGGCCCTCTCTGAGTTTTTTTAACACTCAAGCTGGTCTACACTGAGTCTCCAGTAATTTGCTAATTATAGTTTAAAGTGTCCCTACTGTCCAGCTGTGGGCTATGTATTTGCCTGTCTGTCTCTCCATTTTGGGGGCAGTACTTTGTCTTGTGACCTTAAGTCTCTGACAGATCTAAGAAGAGTTGTTGACTTTCAGTGTGTCCATCTTTTTTCTTGTTTTGAGGATGGGAGTGATGACTTCCAAGTTCCTTATATTTCAGACCAGAAAACACATTAATTAATTACTTAATTAATTTAGAGGCAGAGTCTTGTTCTGTCTCCCAGGCTGGAGTGCAGTGGCACGATCTAGGCTCACTGCACCCTCTGCCTCCCAGGTTCAAGTAATTCTCCTACCTCAGCTTCCTGAGTAGCTAGGATTACTGGCACCCACCACCATGCCTGGCTGATTTTTTTTTTTTTTTAGTAGAAACGGGGTTTTACCATGTTGGCCAGGCTGGTCTCAAACTCCTGACCTCAAGTGATCCACTTGCTTTGGCTTCCCAAAGTGGTGGGTTTACAGGTGTGAGCCACTGTGCCCAACCCAGAAAACACTTTACAATTGTCAACCTAAATAACAAAGAGAAAGAGGCTCTCTAAAAGAAATAAGGTATTTATTTTGGAATAGAGCATTGTAATGGGAATATGCATGCCGTAGTAAGCTATGCACATATTCAGGGAGATAAAGAAAGGGAATAGTTTGTAAAGGAAAAATGAGGATTATATAATTGTTTTGAAATGTTTATCCTTGGCTATAAATATCAACAACAATGATGATACCAGTCCAAGGCTGGACAGGCCGTTGCTGGGCAGATGTCTTTTCAGAAATATTTTTTGTATATGGATGCAAATGTTCTTTGGGCGAGGTTGTGATTTTTGCAATTTTTTGTGATCGTTTGTGCTATCAGGCATCTAAGAATGAGAACTCTGTCTTTATGGCCTTCATCTATTTTGTCAGATTTTTCTTTTATTTTCTTAACATCAGTGACTCCATTTTGATTCTGACAACTTTCACACTATGATTTTTAAATCTTTTTTGGGGGGGAGACTGGGAGATTCAGCTAGAAGCCAAATTGTGCTCCACACACAATAATTTTTTTTTTTTTTTTTTGAGATAGAGTCGCACTCTGTCACCCAGGTTGGAGTGCAGTGGTGTGATCTTGGCTCACTGCAGCCTTTGCCTCCTGGGTTAAAGCAATTCTGCCTCAGCCTCTCAAGTAGCTGGGACTACAGGTGTGTACCACCACGTCTGGCTAATCTTTTGTATTTTTAGTAGAGGTGGGGTTTCACTATATTGGCCAGGCTGGTCTTGAACTCCTGACCTCAAGTGATCCATCCACCTCGACCTCCCAAAGTGCTGGGATTACAGGCATAAGCCACTGTGCTTGGCTCCCATGCAATGATTTTTAAAGAATCAAAAATGGCTGGCTGGATGCAGTGGCTCACACCTGTAATGCCAGCACTTTGGGAGGCAGAGGTGGGCGGATCACAAGGTCAGGAGATCAAGACTATCCTGGCTAACACGGTGAAACCCCATCTCTACTAAAAATACGAAAAATTAGTGGGGCATGGTGGCAGGCACCTGTAGTCCCAGCTACTCAGGAGGCTGAGGCAAGAGAATCGGTGGAACCTGGGAGGCAGAGGTTGCAGTGAGCCAAGATTGCGCCACTGCACTCTAGCCTGGGTGACAGAGCGAGACTCCATCTAAAAAGAAAAAAATAAAAATAAAAATAAAAAGTTGCTAAATTTTAGATTACTTGTTTTTGTATTTTTCATTATATCTGTGATATATTAATAGATTTCTTAACAACAACTAACTTTTCCTTGATTGTAATTCTTCCTTTTACTTCACTGAGGTGGATAATTCTTTATATACATGGTTAAATTTTACTTAATTTTTCGTTCAGATTTTTACAATTATATTTGTAAGTGAAATTCATCTGCCACTTTATTTTGGCTGCTCTCTTTGTCTGACTGAGATGCTGATATAGGGTACTCTTATCTTTTGTTTCCAAGACTGTTGCCACTCTAATGAGGAACTGAGTGAAGTTTTATTATACACTTTTAGTTAACTTGAGAATCCTATTAACTATTTTTTGAGGTAAGTGGAATTGACTTCTGGTATCTAAGAAAAAGTAGCTAGAAAATAATATTTTAAAATTTACAGGGGATATTATAAAGGAAGCTTATGAAGAGTTTAAATTTTAGAGTATAGCATGCCCCTTGTTCCCTCTTTAAAGGCAGTTTTCAATAATTAAGAGATATTAACTATATTTATTTAGGTCAGGAGATTTTTTTTCAACTTGTCTTCTTAAACGGAAGAATAAATGAACAATATGATAAAAGAGAGAATGAACAAATGTCACCATTCTCCTCTTATTGAGGGCGATTGTGCAGGTTGTACACTACATAAACCAAGGGATATTATTTGTTACAAGGTTTGAGTTGATTAGACATTTTCTTTCTGTACATATGTGATTAAAATCTACATCAGGGGTCAGCAAATTTCTTTTTTTTCAAGGGCAAGACAGTAAGTATTTTAGGCTTGTGGGTCATGTGGTCTCTGTCAAAACTTTTAAACTTTGCTGTCATAGTATGAAAGCAGCCATACATACATAAGGGAATTGTTGTGGCTGTGTTTCAATAAAATTTGATTACAGAAGCATAAGTGGACTGAGGGCTGTGGTTTACCTATCCTACTTTATGCCTACATACTTCTAAGGGAATCTAATGTTATCATGAAGATTTTAAGATGGGTTATGGTTACAGCTGAAACTCCTAACTTACATATCTGATTTTCCTCTTACTCTCTCAGTTTCTTGAGCAGTTTCAACCTTCTCTGCCAGGGTTTTGTAAATGTTGTAGCTCTTTAAGCCTCAGCCTTAGATCTTTTTCTTTTCTCACCTCTATACTCTTTCTATAGGCAATGAATCCAATATTTTTTAACTTCGGTGCATTCCTCTACTCTGAATCCAACTGCCAACTTCATGTTTCTCAAAGACACCTCAAATTCAACAGTTAAACTGAATTTATAATCTTCCATTCTCAAACCTACTTTTCTGTGTTTTTTTTTTGTTTCAGTGAATATTATCATCAACTCTTTAACACAATAAGCCAGAAATTTAAGAATTATACTTCACATACAGAGTCTTTATTACCTATTGATTTTATCCCCTTTTGAATCATTCTGTCCACTTCATCTCTCTGCTCATAAAAAAGGTGCTGGTGATTTTTATCTGTATTATTGCAACAGCCAGCCATTCTTGGCTCCTTCCATTTTGTGATTTGACTGATATTTATAAAATAGACATCAGATAATAAACTAAACAATCTGATAATAAAGCTAGTCCTAGACCTTTAATAACATCCTTTGTTCTAAGGATAAAAATTAAAAATGTTGGCAATAGCCCTCATAAAGCTGTGTGTGTTTTGCCACCTGCCTCCTTTCTAATCCCATCTGGCACTTACTTATATATACCAGACATTATACCAGGAAAGGGGATTACAAAGACAAAATAAATGGTCTCTGATTTCAAGCAGGTTACAGACTTTTTAGGGGATATACTTAAGTAAATAATGCTAAAGAGAGTTGCATTATTTTAGGTCAGATAAATATCAGAATCGAAATGACATGTTAAGATATACATAATAGGGAGAAAACCAAGAAGGATTTAGCTTAAAAAATCAACAACATATCTAAAATTCTTTATTTGGAAAGAACTATATATACTGTCAAATCTTTACTTATTGTTTTGAGAGCTTATATCATAGGTTAAATATATAAATGAGGAAAAGGTTATGGTAAGAATAGCTCTTTGACTGTTAGAATTTTCCATTTGCCACTAACTAAATGAATTATACAAAAGCCACTTGTAAATCTTTGTGTCAACTGATGATAAAATCAATGCAGTTGTTTGAAAGACTATATTGTGTTGTACATCTTAGAAGCACATTATAGCACATTACATCTGACACCATTAACCAGAAGAATGACTTCATTGGCAAGAAAGAATAAATTGTAAGAAAGTAGGTGTGACAGGTCTTTCCTTTTCACAACTTACCTTCCATGGAAACTCTGAAACTGTTTCATAACGATTTCATAAGTTTTTGTATTGATGCAAGTTTTTGTACTGTTGATGTAACTGCATTTCTGTCATGTTTGCACATTTTGGCCCATCAAAATGTTTGGCTTCTCTCTATATGGTCTTCTAATTATAGAAATTGCCTCATAAGTGTGATTGTGCGTGTGTGGCAATGTAATATTATAAGAACAGCAAGCCATTCAGAAAGAGAATTTCTGAGATTCAATAAAACAGAGTTTTCTTTGTTGAAAACAGAAATATGCTCAGATTTAACAGCTCCAGAAAAACAGCACCATATTTGACTATATGAAACCAGAAAGGCACGATAAACTATTACTTTTTATTCTATGTGATTTGTCTGTGGTGTCTATGATAAATGCTGCTTTCTAAAGCAGACCAGTCACAGCACAGCAGAGCAATAATAGAAATGTAAATGTACATTATGAGAAAAACACAATTAGAAAAGTATAAACATAAACTTACTGGCTCTCCTGGAAGTCCTCTGTCACCTGTACTTCCAGGCAATCCCTGTAAACCCTGGAGAAATAAAGGCAATACTTGTAGGAAAAGTATTGTGTGAAGATGTTTTACACAGTTTCCTTACCTTAGCTTTCCTATGGATCCTTCCACCCAACTTTTCTGTCTACTGCTATTTTTTTTTTTTTTTTTGCTTTTGTGGTAAATTTACTATTTTAACCATTTTTAAATGTAGTTACGTGGCATTAAGTACATTCACATTGTTGTGTAACCATCACCAGAACTTTTTCATCTTCCCAAACTGAAACTCTGTACCCATTAAATACTAACTCCCCATTCCCTGGCAACCACCATTCTATTTTCTGTCTCTATGAATTCGAATATCCTAAGTACCTCATATCAGTGAGATCATACAATATCTGCCTTTCTGTGACTGGCTTATTTTACCTAGCATAATGTCTTTAAGATCCATCCCTGTTGTAGCATGAGTGAAAACGTTCTGCTTTTAAAGGTTGGGTCCACTGTATGCATATCCCACATTTTGTTTATCTATTAGTCTATCAAAGAACATGGATTACTTTCAACTTTTGGCTATTGTGAATAATGTGGCTATGAATATGGGTATACGAGTATCTGTATGAGTCCCTTTTTTCAATTATTTGGGTATCTACCTAGAAGTGGAACTGATAGATCATATGGTAATTATCTGTTTAACTTCTTGACAAACCACCAAACTGTTTTCCACAGCAGTCCCCCTATTTTATATTTGTACCAGTAATGAACAAGGGTTCCAATTCCTCCACATCCTTGGCCACATATATTTTCTTTTTTTTTTTATAACAGCATTATAATGTTTGTGAAATAGTATCCCATGGTGGTTTGATTTTCATTTCCCTAATGACGAGTGATGTTGAGCATCTTTTCATGTGCTTACTGGCCATCTGTATACCTTCTTTGGAGAAATGCTTGTTCAAGTCCTTTGCTCATTTTTCCATCAGGTGTTTTTTTTATTCTTGAGTTGTAGGAGTTCTTTGTATCTACCCCTATTTTTATTTAATCCTCACTCCTATACTGTGACAAATAATTACCCCAAATTATTTTAAATCTGAATTTCTTTACAGTTTTAACATCCACATAAAATTTCCTTTTTCAAAAAATAATAATGTCCTTGTGATGTGTTAATAAGTATGACTTATGTCTTTAAACCCTGGCAAGGCACAGGAGACTCAGAACCTAGATAACCGGAAATAACCATACTGAACCTGTAACTTTCTTTTTTCCCCATCTTTACACTCTTTGTAGTACCATAAAAGAGTGCTTCAGATATGAAGTAGATAGAACACTAAACCAAATTCTGACTCTTCTCTGACTCAGTCAAAGATTTATTGAGCATTTACTGTGTGCGAGGCACTGATGACCACTGACAATACATAACATGTTGACCCATTTGTAAGTTGCATCTTCTTTTTTTGCTTTATTTTATTTATTTATTTATTTATTTTTTTGAGATGGAGTCTCACTCTGTTGCCCATGCTGGAGTGCAGTGGCGTGATCTCGGCTCACTGCAAGCTCTCCATCCGGGTTCACGCCATTCTCCTGCCTCAGCCTCCCAAGTAGCTGGGACTACAGGCGCCCGCCACCACGCCTGGCTAACTTTTTTATTTTGTATTTTTAGTAGAGATGGGGTTTCACCGTGTTAGCCAGGATGATTTTGATCTCCTGACCTCGTGATCCGCCCGCCTGGCCTCCCAAAGTGCTGGGATTACAGGCGTGAGCCACTGCGCCCAGCCATAAGTTGCATCTTCTGCATTATTGACCTTGGGAAAGTTGATAACTATACAGCTAATCACAAATACCATTTTACCTTAAAAAACTAAAAGGTATAAAAATATGACATTAAATTAGAAGTAAAGATATTCAAAGTTCTTAGCAACACACTGTCTTCTAAGTTATAATCTTTAATGCTATGTTCAGTTTCTCTGGCTAGGGAAAGGGAACTATGTAAAATTATGGACTCCCATCTAGTTGAAGCTCTGTTTCAGTCATGTAAATGATATGGTGCCTATTTACTCCAGGCTCCTTAATTAAGAGATAGGATCATTACAAGGAATCTCTCTGTGCCTAGTAGAACAACTGAAATATACAGAAAACTTCAGAACTTTAAATAATATCTGCCCAATTTTCTTTGTAAAGTATGTATAGACATAATATCAAGCTTATCATGTACTTTCAATGCTGTTGATACTGCATAAAAGCTCTTTTGCAAAGCCACGAAATAATTTAAGTGGACTCTGTTTTTATTGGGAAAAAAGTGGAAAAGCACAAGCTGGAATAAAATAAAAATTATCTTTAAGGCTTTTTAGAACTCCCTTCTCCATTACTTCAACCCAGTAACTATGATAATGATGACCATGAGGATAACAATGGTTATTTTGGTTGTTATTTATTAGAGCCTGTTCCAGGAACATAATAAATAACATTTGTTATAACTATAAAAGATTTCCTATATCAAAGATGGGGAAACTGAAGCCCAGAGAAGTTAAGTAATTTGTACAAAGTCAAGACTGCTAGTAAGTGGCAAAGCCAATATATGACTTCCAATATAATGATACATTATATGCAAGGGAATAATTATATATATAATTTATATATATATATATATATATAAAAAACTGTGGACTACTTATCAGAAATACCGACGGCCAAAACAAAATGGCAAGTTATCCTTACAGAGTTGAATAAAAACAAAATAATCCCCCAAAAGACTCTGTCAACCTAAAATCTGATATCCGGTGAAACTGTACTTCAAAAGTAAAGGAGAAATAAAGACATTTCATAAACAAAACCTAAGAGAAATATGTACTAGCAGACTTTACTACAAGAAATATAAAGGATGTTCTATAGGTTACAGGGAAATGACATCATTTGGAAACACAAATCTTCAGAAAGTAATGAACAGCATCAGAAAAGGCAAATATGTGGGTAAATGCTAAACATTATTTCCCATTAAACATCTCTAAAGTATGTATTTCATTTACATTATGAAAACATTTTATTTATATTAAAGCAAAAATTATAACTTTGCAAATGTGTAGTTTAAAATATATGTAGATGTAATACATAAAACGATTATAGCATAAAAAAGTATTAGTAAATGGACCTATATTGTTGGCAAGTTTCTTACACTTGTGTTAAGTATTTACATAAAACATTTATTTTGTGGCACTTCACAGAAGAAGTTTGCTGACCCTTGACCTAGAATAACCATGGAAAATTATAATGAGAAGAAATAGAGCTAAAAATCCAACAGACAGATTAAAATAGAATTCTCAAAATTATTCAATGCCAACAGAAGACATTGAAAAAAACAACAAAACGGAAACAAACAAAAACAGATCATTAAATGGGAGACCCAAATCTAACCATATCAATTACGTATCAATAATTACATTAAATTGAAATTGAACAAATGCTCAAATTAAAAGGCAGAAATTGTCAGAATGAATAAAACGCAAGGTCTAACTATAAGATAAGATATTCACTTTAAATATCAAGACACAGATAGGTTGAAAGTAAATTAAGGAACAAGATATGCCATGTAAGCAGCAAGCTAAGAAAGCTGGAGAAACTTTATATTAGTATTAATATCAGATGAAGTATACTTCACAACAAATAGTATTACCAAGAGTAAAAAGCATTACCAGAGATAAAGAAGAATATTTTTTAACAACAAAAAAGGATCGGCTGATGAGGAAGACATAATAATTACAAATGTGAATAAACTTACAATAGAATTTAAAAATACATAAAGCAAAATTGAAAAGAATCAAAGGTAGAAATAGAGAAACACAAAAATTATAGTTGGAGAATTTTTACACCCCTATCTCATAAACTGATAGAATATCTAGATTTAAAAAAATACTCAGTAATGTATGAGTTATGATAGTTTTTATATTATTTAGAGAACCTAAAATAGTGATCCAGGCCTTAACACCTTATTAACACAATGGATTGTGGTCTTTTTTCCTGATTTTCTTTTGAGTCAGATGTATGGGAGGCAAGTATTGTATAGGAAACAGTGTTGGTCCACAGACAAATACACTTTTACTAGTTATCTGGATTACCAGAGCACTATGTGTTGCCAGTTTTCATTTAATTCCTGGCTTAAAATTATGAAAACTTAGAGATGGAGAGGGTCTTAGAGCTCTCATCCTAACCATTTTTTAAAATTCATTTTAAAAATAAAGAATACGTATTTTTAGAGATGGGGGTCTCACTACATTGCCCTAGCTGGTCTCGAACTCCCGGGCTCAAGAGACCTTTCTTCCTCTGCCACTGAAAGTGCTGTGATTACAGGCATAAGCCATCACGCCTAGCCCTAACCAATTTAAACACGGTTATATGGTTTTTAGGAGCATACACTAGACCAAAAGTCAATCTGACCTCAAATTTAGTTTTCTAATATACAGCACTGCCTGTTTGTTGATAGTGCATAAATGACTAGAGACACTAAGACTGTGCTGAAGGATCAAATGAATCTTTGGGGCTTGTTTGGCTTTTTTCAATTGATTGTTCCCAGCTTCTCCAAGATCTCAATTCAATCAAGGAGAAGGAGACAATGTAGGTATAGAGCCAAGTAAACCTCAATAACTATTATAAATTCATATTTAATGTCCAACTTTGTCATGCACTAAGGAAACTTAATTCTTCCAGGAGTCTACGTGACACGTTTGCCAGGGTAAGGTTTCAAACCAGGGTAAGGTTACAAAATGATTCTAGTATCTTTTATTTAATTGAGAAAGTCAGACATGAAATATTACATTTATACAAGCATACATTGATGGGCTAAAAATGAAGGTAAAATTCTAGGGAAGGTCAAAAATGAATGACCTATAATTTTACCTTCATTTTCAGTACATCAATGAATACAAAATGAATAAGTAATTTTATTTATCTGGGCCTCATTTTTTTTTAAATGAGAGGAATGAACTTGAGCTCCAAACTTTTCCACTCACTGCAACGTATGGGCACTGTATAAAGTACAGCAAAGTAGTCATAATCTATACAAACACCATTTATATCGATATAATAGAAACTCAGATGATGAATATTAAAACTCAAGTAACATTCTTTGAGGATAACGTTAATCAATAATACAATGCCACACACAAGTTCTTTCCCAGACACAGTCATTTATTTTCTGTCTTAGGTCTCTGGTATTTTAGGTTGGATCACTGTTAAACACAATGTTATTGTGGGAAACAGCGGGCAGGGGGCAGCAGATTTCAAAAAGGAACAAGTAAATGCAGTGACATTTTCTATGTAAACAATTATTAATAGTATAGCAGCTAAAACATTTTTATTCTATCCTTTTCTGTCTCCTGAGCTGCAATATATTTATATTATCTATTTTTATAACTTTATATTATATATATGTGTATATAACAAATCAAAATGTCATCATTAAAAATTAAAATTCTGAATGAAAGTAAAAATATTCATATACCTAAGCTTATGTGCTCATATACATGTACTATCTTATGTGTCTATGTGTAAGTATGCATGTGTGGGTAAATCTTTATTTAACTTTTTTTTTCCTCTTACTTAGTGATGATAACCACAGAACTTGTTGCCTTTCAGGGAAAAAAAATGTATAATTCTGGTAAGATTTTTGATGGTAGGAAAATAACTAGTATTATAAAATATTAACAGCTCCTAAGAAGTGCCATGGGAAGGCATGATGACACACACAGCTCTACACTCCAAAGGCCTAAAAGGAATTCAAGTTGAGTTAAAAGAAAACTAGGCAAGAGGCCCAAAAAAAGTTACTTATTATATTAGCTTTATTAACGTCTCATTATATTTATATATCATGCCATTTTATTTTGAAATGGGTTTTACAGTAAAACTAATTTATCTTCACTCTATTTATCATAGAGTGAGGTAAAAGTATCAGTTATAACCACCAGTTACGGATAGGTACAACCCAGGCCCAGAATGGGTAAGCAACTTGCTCAAATAAAACAATGACCCAATGATTAAAGGAGAAAAAGAACTTACATTCTTTTAGTCCAACGTACTGAATACTAAACAATAGTTGTATCAGAGAATAAAGCAGATAAGGGTAATCAGTTCATAATTTATACATATATCAAGATATCACATTGTATACTGCAAATATATGTAATTTTTATGTGTCAAAAAATGCCCCAAATATTGTTTGAGCAGCCCCTCTCCTCAAAAAATAGCAGATAAAAATTGTTCATCGCCTGATTTTTTTTTTTTTATTACTTACTGGTTTCCCTTGAACTCCTCTTTCTCCAGGGTTTCCAGTCTTCCCCTACACGAGAAAGAAAATGCTTGAGTCAAGTAGTCCCCTCCAAAAAGATTAATCATACTAAGAGAAACAAAAAAAGACTTAAAATGTTCATCTTTAATGTGAAATGTTTTATTACTTACAATAAGACCATGAGGCCCTCTTTTTCCTTGATCTCCTTTTTCACCCTAACAAAGCATCAAAGCCAGGTGAGTTAGTAAGAATGTGAATTATCGTCTTATATATGCTAGCATATATTCACACACAAAAAGATAGTAAGTATACAGTTCAATATTGAAAAGTAAACATCTCTGTGTCTGTAGTAAAAACTTTTATGTGTTTCATACTTAGACAAAGATAAAATTTAGAACCATATTTTTGTAAGGAAATATGTTGTTTTTTAGACCAGTAGGACATATGGGCTCAATAAAATTTAACTGTATATGAAATGAGAAAAATCAATGATTACCTTGGCACCTTGTATACCTTGTTCCCCTAAGAGACCATCTGGTCCTCTTGGTCCCTAGAGGTGAAAAAAATATCCTGTTGTTAATTTGAAATGTTCCCTTTTTTTTTTTTTTTTTTTTTTTTTTTTTTTTTACTGTTATGTGTCCTCACAGATGAAGTTGCGGTGCCCTTCTTTAGTAGACAAACTCCTTCTGCTTGATTTTATGCCTGACAACAGAAAATACTGCAGCTGGGTATATGGCTCAACCTCTCTGCATGGGAGAATCAGCCCATGTTTTTAAGATTTAACGACAAATAATAAGTCAAATGAGCACAAAAATAGCTAACTCAGTGGTTGAGGTGGTTATAATATAGGTGTGTTATTTGGGTATTTCGTTCACTTTATAGTTTACTCAGCAGCCAGCCAGGATTTATTCTTAATCAACTCTAAATCAAAAGTGGCTGGATTTGTTTCTCTAAACAGTCTCCTTAAGTTTAATATTTTAAGATGGTGCTCTTTTCATGTTATTAGAAAATGATACCAATGCAGGAGCAGAAAACCAAACACAGCATTTTCTCACTTATAAGTGGGAGCTGAATGATGAGAACACATGGACACATGGTGAGGAACAACACACACTGGGGCCTATCAGGGGGCCTGGGGGAGGCAGTGCATCAGGAGGAATAGCTAATGGATGCTGGGCTTAATACCTAAGTGATGGGATGATCTGTGCAGCAAACCACCATGTCACATGTTTACCTGTGCAACAAACCTGCACATCCTGCACATGTGCCCCTGAACTTAAAATAAAAATTGAAGAAAAAAAAAAAAAAGAAATAAAGTTTAGCTGGAATGAAAAAAAAGAAAGAAAGAAAGAAAGAAAATGAGTGCTGACTGCATTGTACCTGCTATGCAACTGCTTGCCAGGAATTACTGGGAGATGGCAGGAGCACAGAAAAGGTAAGAGAAAATACTACTGAAAATATTCGTGTAAATTTGAAACTTCTCAGTGTTCATTCAATAATTAGCTGCAAAAAAGCCGTTGCAAAAGTCATTCTATAATAAAATGATAGAATACTCTTCCACTAAATTATCACTTTCTTTGGAAGACCTTAAAGTCTTTGTTCAGGGACTTGATTCAATTCTACAGACTCTAACTGAATACCTGTGGAAAAGGAATTGTGTTAAGTGTTACGGTGATTTATAATTGAGAGGAAGTTTCTCTATTATACAAATATACAAAAGACAATTATATAGATAGATAGATAGATAGATAGATAGATAGATAGATAGATAGATAGATAGATAGATAAGACATGCCAAGGACCAAAACAAGAATTCAAAGAGGGAGACAACCTTCACATTTGTAATGGGAATAAAGATATTTTTAGCAGATGGAGGTCGAGTTCTCATAGACTTATTCCAAATAGGAGAAACTATACATTGAGGGATAGTATGAGAAAAAAATACAGAGGCATGAAAAAAGATGCTCACAGAATAAAAACATAGTTTGTTTGCTTAGGCTATTGATTACATGTTGATAAATATTAAGATGTAAGTGTGGAAAAGAAGACTAGGACTTATAAGGTGAAGGACTGAAGTTTACTTTTAAATAATTTGGCAGAAAACTGATGCTGAATATTTCTATACAGAACAGTGATACACATCTCCCAGGACAACATACAGATTTGAAGGAGTCCTTTAGGCTTCAGAATCTTCTCTTGTATCACATCTGAGATAAGCTTTGGTTTAGCTTTATATTATTAAAAGCTATTTACTGTAATAGGACTCTCTTCTCGGAACTCTTAGGGTAACTGCATTCCTTGATCCTCAGAGGCACATTCATGGATTTGGACAGAACACATACTTCATGGAGGATCTGTAGCTCCACTGATCCTGATAAAGCCATAGCTCCGGCCCTACAATTTCTAAGTCTATATTCAAGGTACTCCAAAATCTATTCCCAACTTCCTTTCTGCTCTATTTTCCAATGAAGGACTGAAAAACTGAACTACCGTCTTACTGTGCAAGACCTTGAAGATCAAGTTGAGGAGCAGGGACTTAATTTAATAGATCAGTATTTTTTAACATGTGTTATTCATTCAGCAGATGTATACTGAGTGCGTACTAAAAGCCAGGCATTGTTTTAGGTCCAGAGGACACGGTAGGGAGAAGAGACAAATCCCTGAATTCATAAACAAGCAAATAAGTACGTAAAACTAAATTATAAAATGAAAATATGTAGTTAAGTGTAATGAAGAAAAATAAAGAACTAGAGAGTATCCACGGTGGAGAGGACTATTTTAGATAGGGTGGCCTGAAAAGTCTCTCTAAAGTGACATGTGGGTAGACACCTAAAAGAGGTAAGATTGCAAGCTACGCAAATAATCTGGGGAAGGTCACTGTAGCAGAAAAAACAGCAAGTGCAAAGTTCTGATGAGGGGGCATGCTTAGAATATTCAATAATTGAGTATCTGAAGATGAAAAAAGAACAATGTTCAACGGATGACTCAAGTCTTAAGCATGAAGGTCCCTCAGGACTTTGCTCTAATAATCACCCTCAACCCTCAAGATGATCTTGAAATTTCAGCCATCTGTATTGATTCTTTTTCTCTAGCACCTTCAATGCCTAATTCTTCTCTTTTTGCTCTGAAAGAAACACAGCTAACTGTTTTGAGTAACAAAAGAAGAAGGCCGAAAGAGTGTGAAAAGGAATGAGTGGTCAACATTCTAAAATACTATAAAAAACAAGTAAGGTCTAAATTGAAAATGTGTCCACTGGTAATTAATTGGGCCCTTAAAACTCCTTTACAACCTAGAATTTCTATGTATTTCTTTGATATTTTATTACTGAGTAATTGGTAGAAGATAACAGCATCAATAGAAAGCAAATTAGAAATGTAGGTTTGCTTGGGGTGGAGAGGGAGGAGTGGTGGAAGATAAGGAGTTGGACTCTAGATGATCAAGCCCAATGAAGTAGATATCTCCAAGGCTAGTGACAGAGAGTTAGAAAGTTAGAAGTCATTCTGAGTTTGCATGGTGGCAGCCATAAGCATTAAGCTTCAAAAGGCCCCCAGACACACAGTTGTACATTTAGAATTTTTTAAAAAAAGATTACTTGGTCCAAAGATAGAAAATACGTTTCATTTCTTAGATAAATCAGATTAAGTGGCTGCCTAGATATATACATAGAAAAGGCTGCATCTAGCTGGACTAAGTCTCATAATTAATTGCCAGTTTCTTGTTTGGGCACAGAAATCACCTACTGCCATTGCTGAACTAGTCAAAACCCCAATTTTTAAGATGAAGAAACTGAAGTTTGTAGATGTTAGATGAGTAGCCTGACTCCCATGATGTCTAAATATACAAAGACTGAATGACTACGCTTTATTAAGTTTATCATATTTTTTCAAAGGTTAGAAAGAAATGAGGTTAATCCTCTCAGCAAGTGAATTCAGGCTGGAATAGAGGACCTGAAATTTAGAAGTTTACAAAATGAATATTAAATATTCACAAGTAAAGTGCTGATTGGTATTGCAAATCAAGGGAACTCCTTCTAAAATTAAGGAATACATATAGTAATGATAACCACTCATTTTATGTTTTACATTTAAAAAATACTTTTACTACTCAAAGCAATCTAGAGATTCAGTGCAATCCCTATCAAAATACCAATGTCATTTTTTCACAGAGATAGAAAAAAAATCCTAAGATTCATATGGAACACAAAAAAGAGCCCAAATAGCCAAAGTAATCCTAAGCAAAAAGAATAAAGCTAGAAGCACCACACTACATGACTTTAAAGTACACTACTGGGCTGGGTGTGGTGGCTCACACCTGTAATCCAACATTTTGGGAAGCCGAGAAGGGAGGATCACTTGAGCCCAGGAGTTCAAGATCAGCCTGGGTAAGATGGCAAGACCCTGTCTCTACAAAAAATTTAAAAATTAGCCAGGCACGGTGGAACGTGCCTGTAGAACCAGCTACTTGGTAGGTTGAGGCAGTAGGATCATGTGAGCCCAGGAATTTGAGGCAGCAATGTGCTATGATTGCATCACTGTACTCCAGCCTGGGTGACAGAGTGACACCCCATCTTTAAAAGATAAAATAAAATAAAATAAAATAAACTACAAAACTATAGTTACCAAAACAGCATGGTACTAGTATAAAACAGACACATAGGCCAACAGAACAGAAAAGAGAGCCCAGAAATAAATCTACACATTTGTAGCCTGCTGATTTTTGACAAAGGTGCCAAGAACAGACAATGGGGTATGAGTGGTCTCTTCAATACATGATGTTAGGAAAACTGTATATCCAGATGCAGAAGAATTAAATTAAACCCTTATCTCTCACCATATAAAAAAATCAACTCAAAATGGATTAAAGACTTAAATATGAAGACTCAGAACTATAAAACTTCTAGAAGAAAACAGGGGAAAAGCTCCATGACATTGGTCTGGGCAATGATTTTCGCGTTAAAACCTCAAAAGCACAGGAAACAAAACCAAAAACAGACAAATGGGACTATGGTAAACTAAAAAGCTTCTGTACAACATAAGAAACAATCAACAGTTCAAGAGACAACCTGTTGAATGAGAGAACATATTTGCAAACTATTCATCTGACAAGGGACTATATATCCAGAATACACAAGGAACTCAAACAACTCAGTAGTTAAAAAAATAATTCTATTAAAAATTGGGGAAAAGACATGAGCAGATATTTCTTAAGAGACAAACAAATGGCCAACAGATACACGAAACAATGCTCAACATCACTAATTATCAGGAAAATGAAAATCAAAACCACAATAAGATATCATCATATCACAGGAAGAATGGCTATTATCAAAAAGACAAAAAACAACAGATATTGGCCAGGATGCACAGCAAAGGGAACTCTTACATACTGTTGGTGAGAATGTGAATTATTACTAATTCCATAGCCACTATGGAAAAGAGTATGCAGATTATGGAGCCTGGGTGTGGTGGCTCACGCCCATAATCCCAGCACTTTGGGAGGCCAAGGCGGGTGGGATCACCTGACGTCGGGAGTTTGAGACCAGCCTGGCC